TCCGGAAGCAAAACAAAATCGACCGGTCGCGAGAGAGCCCGGACTTTCCTCTTTAATAAGCAGTCTTCTCACGCAATACACTCACGCAATGCAATTCGCATTTTTTTTTTTTCCAAAACGTCGCGGAGGGACTTTGCGGAGATTCAGGTTCCTCCATCCGGAAAGGAACAAAAGCGCGAAGATCTCGGAGACTGTCTCTCGGAGAATTCTACCGCGGAATGCAAGGCGCAAATTCGAACCTGCTCCTCTTTTCTCGGGAATACTCTCGCGCGAGATGAACGCTACCTCGTCAAAAGGAGAGAACAATCCACGATTCTCGAGCGAAATGTCAATTACCCCAGTTTGCCGGTAGAGGACGCGGCTCCTCGTTCCGGAGGGATCTATTTGCCGTCCGACCAGCGTTCGCCCGACGATCCTTCTTAAGTCGAGGTATTCGCGGATTAAACTCGACTCCGTTAACAAGGTAAATTCTCCCCGCTCGCCCATCCCCCGTCGTCGGTCGTCCTCGGTGTGGTGGACTTCATTGACGTCATTACGATCGGGGTTCGCCAGAATGCTACACCCACGGTACGGAATTGTTTGGGCTTACCAATTGTTCTCCCAGGAATGCCGTCAATCTCCATTCGTGGAATTGTTACCGGACCCCGGCGAGAGAGACAGAGCACAGAGAGAGAGAGAGAGAGAGAGAGAGAGAGAGAGAGAGAGAGAGAGAGAGAGCGCGTCCTCAACGACCTCCCTCTCGTTTTTACCTCCCCCCACCACCCCACCCCTCCCCGCGCCAACGGTAAACGGCACCGGATATTATTTTCGTCGCGAGACTGTCCGAAGTCGCGCGATTAATCTTGTAACTTAATGCCGGCGCGGTGTAACTTAAGGCGCGACGGCGCGAAGGGTCGTTCTGTCCCCTCCCTCCTTCCCCTCCTGCCCCTTACTCGTCCGAGCGCCGAGTTCTGCCGGCGGCGGCGCGATCGCACGCGCGATTTCGCGAGTTCCGCTTCTCCTCGATTAATTCGCGAAATTGATCAGCTGCTTCCCGCGCGGTCGATCCGCGGAGTGACGAAGCGGGGCGTGCAATTTTCGTGCACGGGAGGGGAGGGGGCAAAGAAAGTGCGAGCAACGCGGATAACCGCGGATGCAGATTGCGATAGATTGCGCGAGAAAGAGAGAGAAGAAAATACGAATGTGGGCGGGCGAGATGTGCGGGAATCGCGAACGGACGCGGGAAAATGGCGAAGAGCGAAGCCCGAGGATTGCGGTCTTGGCGAGGTGGCTCAGGTAGAACGATGTTGTACGAAGGGAGAATATAGAGTCAGTCGTGAACACCCGACGCTTTTTAATCACGTTGAAACCGTCTCAGCCTTCTTCTCCGACTGCCGACTTATCTCAATTTCCACCGCTCCTCTCAGAGACGGCGATCTCTGTCTCCGCGAGCGGATTCGCTAATTGCACGGCCGTGCTGAGATGATCAATATTAAACAGTCTGACACGCGCACGCAGCTTGACGGACGTGGTCCCGCCGAAACGAGAAATTCCGCGTACGTGTGACGTATTCCGAATATAAAATATTTCCGAATATAAAATATTTCATACGCACCTGCTATTTCGGCCGCGCGCGAAATCTCTCTCTCTCTCTCTCTCTCTCTCTCTCTCCGGGGCTTGATTCCGCGACGAGTTCGTTCACACGGCGTTATAATCCCGCGACGGGCACTTAGCCGTTCGCACCGGTCGATAGACAGATGCGCTATCCGTCTGTTCGGTCTCTACAAAAGGGAGAGACAATCGGAACGAAGACAACTACGGCCGGAGCTGTCATCGTGAGCGCCGACGGTCGTAAAGGCTGGCGGAACGTCTTTGTCGAGGTCCATTTTTCCCGATCGACCGAGCGACAGTCAGTCGCGACGCTCGCATGAATTAATACCGGCAGCAACGGTCGATCCGCCGACGATCGGTCGATGCCGAACGATTATCGAGGGGGTGTGTGTATAACCAGCAAGGGAAAACGAGGTGAAACAGCGAGACAAGTGGGTCTTTGCGTCGCCATTGATTCTCCCCCCCCTCTCTCTCTCTCTCTCTCTCTCTCTCTCTGTCTCTGTCTCTGTCTCTGCTTGTCGCTTGTCTGTGATTTTGCAAGACCGTCTGCGAAATTGTCTCGCGTGTAGCTCCACGGAGGAGAAGCCCGAGAGCTCTCGGAAGCGCGGTCGCGCGGATAATTGATCGCGCGAGATCAATTATCTCGCGTGCACGCGTAGTCGGGAGCCGTTGTACCACGTCGAGGAAAGTGTGACAAGTGGTTTATTCCCGGTAATTTATGTTAACGCTATGCCTCGGCTATGCCGGGGAAGAAGCCGCTCTGCGCGACCATTTGTCTTCCGCGACGCAACGTAACTGTTGCTTTTTAATCATCCCGAGTTTCGCGCGCGCGCGCGCGCGGCCGAATACGCGATTCGACATCGCGCACGACCACCATCGTGACGTGTGAAAAACAGCTTACGCGCGCCTCCGCCCAACTTTTTCATCGGTCGTAAATCACTTTTATCTCGGATTATATTTTGACAAAATATTTTGCCATCCGTTGTCCGCTTTTATTTCCCCGCGTCGGTCCTCCGCCACCGCGACACCGTCCCGTCATCACCGTATAGGGGTTGCAGTTGTGGTATCGAGTCACAGTGCGTCCCAGGAGAAAGAGGGAGAATGAGAGGGCGCGGGGGATGAGGGGCGTAGCGAACATGGAATAAATTCTATTCCGCTGTCTATTGGGAGATTCGTCCATTTCTCTCTCTCTCTCTCTCTCTTCCTCGTCTCTAAATCTCCTCGTTTCTCTTGCCCGCGCTGGTCGAGCGAACGGTCGATCGGTCGGTCGCTGGGTCGGTCGGTCTGTCAGTTGGACAGACGCCAAAATGCCGCCGGTAAAATTAATCGCTCCCTGACACGAATTCCTCTCTAAGTGGGAATACCAATTTGTAGGTGCGAAACAAAGAGAACGCCTCGGGGGCGAGACGAGGAACGGTGTGGATGCGACGGCGCGTTGCGCGTTGGGGTAAAAGCCGGAAGGTAGAGAGAGAGAGAGAGAGAGGGGGGGAGGTGGTGCGTGGAAGGGAGAAAGAGGGAGAAAGACTACGGCGATCTCTAAACATGTCGTTATATCGAAGCTAACAACCCGGTTTACGTCGCTCTCCTCGGCTCGTTCTTGGCTTCGGCGAGCGAGCGCGCGCGTCCGCCGATTATTGGCCGGCGGCCAAGTGCGTCTCCCCTCCCCTCCCCCCCAAAGACTTATCCTATTGAGCATTGTTTATGAAAGCAACGCGACTACAAAGTGCCGCCGCCTCGTGCGCGCGCGCCTCTTTCGGAGGCGGCAGACCGCGACGCCAAATTAGCGATGCTAAATTAATTGGAGCCGTCGGCGTGTCGACCGTTTTGTCGCGCGTCCCGATCTCGCACGTGATTCTCTCTTTCTCCTTCGTATTCTGTGCTGAACACACAGCGCTTTTGTGCAGACACGCGATTCCGAATCTCGAATTCGCGAATGACAACCCCCTCGTCGTTTTCGCCGCGAAGCCGCGGAAAGCGCGCTTCGTCAGTGTGTGTGTGTGTGTGTGTGTGATCTCGGAATTTAGAAATGCTATTTTTCATAGAATTGTATGTTTTTCGATGTACTCGATGAATATGTCGTCAATCTGCGTGCAAAAATATTAGAGCAAGATCAACAAGAAGGGACGGATGCTTCGCCAGGTGCCTCGCTCATATTTCGTTTCGACGCAAAGAGACCGAGGAGAAAAGTAAAATGGAGCAAACGTTTCATAAAACATCCGTCCCTCTGTTGATCTTACCTCAACATTTCGGCACGTGGAATGACTTGAAGAGTAAATTAGCGGCAAAACAACGAAGTAGCAGATACTACCACCAGTGGTTCTTGTCCGCTGTGGTGCAGCTGATTCAACGAAGCTTCTCGCGAATTTTCCAATGCCTCGACCGGCAAAACGTAAGCCGGCGTTACGCCGAAGTAACACGGCTTAACTCGCCCCGTCTTCCTTATAAAACGATAATTGTGCCGCTGGAATGCGCCTTGCGGCCGGCGAATTGCGCGTACGTGCGTTCGTGCGAACGTACGTGTTTGTACCGCGTCTACTATGTAGCCAAGAATGTGCCGACAAGGTGCATCTCTCGGCGCTGCTTTGCTAAACAAGACGCCGAGCGCGCTCGTGCTTTCGCAAAGCTTCGCCTTACCGGCGCAATTCCAACGTCTCGCGGAATCGCAGCCGCGAGTCGCCGCGAATCGCTTCTGCAGCCGCTGATAAGAGCGACATGTTGCTCGTCACGATGTGAAGAGGAAACGCTCGTGTGTTTCAGATCGGAGGCACGTCGATCGGCCGAGGCGCGGTTCCGAGTCGGAAGATCGGAAGAGAGGACCGCACGCGCTAGGCTGACGTCGACCGAGAGGACATGGATTGACTTGCGGATTGACACGCGGGGCAAGCGGCGAGGGGCGAGCGAGAGAGAGAGAGAGGGAGAGGGGAAGAAAGAGAGGGAAAGATAGAGAGAGAGAGAGAGAGAGAGAGGGAACGAGAGAAAGAGGAGGAGAGAGAGAGAGAGAGGAGACTAAAAAGTAAAAGAAAGAGAAAGATAGAGGAAGGAGGAAGGAGGAAGGAGGAAAGGAGCTTCATCGCCTGGATCTCGAGACACAGCGTGCAACGGATGGTCGCGGGATCTTCTACGACGTCATCGTCGGAGTACTCAAGGTGGGTGAAGCAAAAAGTGTGCTCGGGTGGTGTGTCGTGATCGTCGTCGTAGGCAGTGGCTCTGTGATGATCGTGGTGTCGTGCTTTCGGCGAATCAGTGTTATTATCGGGAGTGAAGAGTGGTGATTGAGCGAGCGAGAGAGCGAGAGAGAGAGAGAGCGAGAGAGAGAGAGAGAGAGAGAGAAAGAGAGAGAGAGCGAGGTAGAGAGCGAGAGAGAGAGCGAGAGAGAGAGAGCGAGCGAGAGAGAGAGAGAGCGAGAGAGAGAGAGAGAGAGAGAGAGAGAGAGAGAGAGAGAGAGAGAGAGAGAGAGAGAGAGAAAGGTTGTATGCAAGGTAGTTTTGTTCCCCGAGCCGATCGGTGGTATCGGTGGAGTCGAGGATTAACAACGACAGGATCGCACGAGTGGTGACGAAAAAGAGAGAAAAGGAAAGAGAGAAAAAAAGAAAAAGAGGTATTGAGAATATATATCGCAGGTTTCGCGCGCAAGGAGGTGAAGCAAGAGAGGCGAGGTGGCGGGCGAGTGTGAGCGCGATAACACTGGGGCAGAAAGAAGAAAGAGAGAGAGAGAGAGAGAGAGCGAGCGAGCGAACGCGAGGAGAAGCAAAAGAAAGAGAGATACGTCCGAATCAATCGCGCGAGTATCGTCGAGCCGAGAGTAGCCGCGAGATAGTGAGTGATGTGTTCGATGGACGAGGCGCGTCTCGCGGGCGGTGGTCGTCGTCGTCGTCGTCGGGGTAACGATAACGCGTCGTGTCGCGCGCGCTGCCACTACTTGGGATCCGTGAGAAAAGGCGAGCAGTCGGTGATCAGGCTGGCGGGCGCCGGGGAAACGTTTCCAAGGGCATGGCGACCACGCCACTAGGCGGTCGCCTCCCTAACGTAAACCGCAAAGGACCATCTCCGTGTGTCGGTGGTGGTGGTGCTAGTAGTAGTAATAATAGTTGTAGTGGTGGTGGTAACGGCAACAACAACAACAACATCAACAACAACGCCGCCAGTAACGGTAACGGCAGCAACAGCAACAGCAACAGCAACGCTTGCGGCGGCGGCGGCGGTGGCGGCAGCAACGGCAACAACATCAACAGTAACAGCAACAACAGTAACAACAGTTTGGTAGCCGGCGGACAGTCTCGGCGGCAAGAAAGAACGCTGCTCGGCCGTGAACACCGCGACCATCGCCACCATCATCATCACCATCATCACCATCATCATCACCATCATCACCACCATCAGGGTCGGGACAGGTCCTTGTCGTCGTCGTCGTCGTCGTCATCGTCCGGCCAGCAGCGTGAGCCTAAAGCAAGCACGGTGGCGGCTGCTAACGCCGGTGAGCTGGATCCGGCCGCGACGAATGCGACCAACAACTTCGAGTACGACGATAACGAATGGGACATCGGCATAGGAGACCTGATAATCGACCTTGATGCGGACATTGAGAAGACGAGGGACGAGAAATTGAGCTCGGGGACAGGCATGGCTTCTACGCCTGCCTCGGCAGCATCGGCAACGAATAACGCGAATCATCATCAGTTGCAGAACTCAGCGGGCAGCGGAAGCGGCAGCGGAAGCGGCAGCGGCGGCAGCGGTAGCGGCAGCGGCAGCAGCGTCACGGGCGGTAGCAGCAGCAGCAGCAGCAGCATCGGCATCGGACAATCGTCTTCGTCGTCGTCGTCGTCGTCCTCCTCCTCCTCGTCTACGTCCTCGTCGTCCCTCTCGTCGTCGTCCACATCGTCCACGTCATCGTCGTCGTCGTCCTCCTGCGGCAACCTCAACTCCACGGCTCGCTCCAACAGCCCCGGGAGCAGCGGCGGCGGCGGCGGTAGCAGCGGCATCGTTAGCGGCGGCGGCGGCGGCGGCGGCGGCGGCAACAGCAGCAGCAGCAGCAGCGGCAGCATCAGCATCAGCATCAGCAGCAACAGCGGCGGCGGCGGCGGCGGTACAGGCGCCAACAGCTGCGCCGGCAGCAACGGCGCCGGCGGTAACGCGAACGGCACGTCAACCGTGGCCGGTAACAAGCAGCAGCAGCCCACGGGCGTCGTGAGCGGCGTAAACGCCGTCCACGGTAACGCCGGCAATCCCGGCAAGATGGCCGTTGAACACTCGGCCACCGTCGACAAGGGCCTCAAGATGAAGATCAAGCGCACCAAGCCCGGCACCAAGACCAGCGAGGCCAAGCACGAGATCGTCAAGTCGAACGAGATCAACGGCACCGCCTCGTCGCAGGACGCGGCCAACGCCTCGGCCGCGTCCTCCGCGTCCGTCACGTCCGCCGCCGGCGGCTCGGCCGCCGTTTCCGTCGCGGTCGCGCAGAACTCACAAAATTCCGATTGCGGAGCGACCGGCGGCGGCGGCGGCGGCGGCGGCGGCGGTGGTGGTGGTGGAAGCGGCGGTGGCGGCAGCGGTGGTAGCAACAACGGCAACGGTACCAGCGGCGGCGGTGGTGGCAGCGGCGGCGGCGGCGGCGGCGGCGGCGGCCAATCGTCCTCCTCCTCCTCCTCCAACAAGTCCTCCAAGCCGAGTCACAACACCCCAACGTCCGCCAGCGGCAACGGCGCCGCGCCGTCCTCCACGGCGGGCTCGAAGCGCGGCTCGAGCGGTCATCGGCGCGACAAGGCGCGCGACAAGCACGACAAGCCGCAGAGCAATCACACGCCCCAGCAGACCAAGCCGGAGATGAACGGCACCGCGAGGCCCACTCCGCAGAGTCAGAACTCGGCGGGTGGCGCGACGCAGTCGCAGGGCCCGACGCCGGCCGCCACGGCGCCGCAACAGACTCAGGGACCACCGCCCAGCTCGAGGACAGGTTTTTCCGTGTCACAGGGCCCGGGACCACCCGCGACCAGCGCGGCAGCGCCTTGCCCGCCACCCAGCCCGGCGAGCGCGACCGCCGCCGGTGCAGCCGCCAAGCCGGAGCAGACCAAGGTCGCCGCGGTGCCGGGTCCACCACTGACCACGCAGGCCGAGGAGGCCTGCGACACCGCCGCGAGCCCTCCACCCGCCAAGAAGATGAAGACTTCCAACTCCGAACCAAAGGTAAGTGTCCATCTCTCTCTCTCTCTCTCTCTCCTTCTCTCTCTCTCTCTCTCTCTCCTTCTCTCTCTCTCTCACTCCTTCTCTCTCACTCCTTCTCTCTTTCTCTGTGTCTTTGCGACTCGGTTCCAGGTGTCTGGGGACTCCTACACTTCCCTCTACCCTAGACGGCCGGCTCTTTAAAATTTAGAATCATGAGCTCGCGCGCGCGTCTAAGTAGGCATCGAAGCCCCAGGAGGGGGACTATCGCGATCGCTCTCTCTTCTCTTGTTTCTCTCCTCTTCAACGAGACGCGTCGGAAACGGAATATTGTCGGGAGGAGTCTGAGACGCTCGAGAGAGAGAGAGAGAGAGAGAGAGAGAGAGAGAGAGAGAGAGAGAGAGAGAGAGAGAGAGAGAGAGAGAGAGAGAGAGAGAGAGGGATTGTCGAGGTGATAATAACGACAAATAATTTATGCAACGTTGAGCGGCATTTGCTCCGTTAAACACGTCGGCGCCAAAAAGCGAGGCTGAACAGGGGAATCTCGTATTTATTCTCCCGTCAACTAATTACCCCCATTCACTCTGTGCACGGCTAATCGCTCCGCCACGCGGAAATTACGAGAGGGTTCGCTGTGAATTGACAGTCGCTCGTGTGAACTTTTCACTTTTTTTTTTCGATCGAGGGATGGATAGCTGAGAGCAAACTAGTTGCCGTCGTCGAACAAATTCAAGGCAGACTCGAGCGCGCGCGCGCACGTAACGATGCTGGTTTCCGGCAGCAGCTAGTTAGCCGCCACGCCGGCAGCCTCAGGCGCGGCACCTCCGATGGCTATCTTCGCCTCGTCGGCGGCGACGCGTAACTCGGCTCGCACGTGTCTACCCGCGGCGCGGAATCGATTACGCAACGCGGCGAGATGCAACGGCGGAAAATTTCCGGAGAGAAATCTTCGAATCACGAGGAGACGAGGATCCGAAAGAGCGAATTGGACTTTTGCGATATCGCGTCTCACTAGTAGTTAATTTATCGTAACACCAACGAGAGACTGGGGAAAAAAACGAAGGACTCGACTGAACAACTTGCGGCGGCAGGTTTCGCCATGTGAATATCCTGGGAGATGAAATTATGAATCGCGCGCGCGAATTATGGTCGTTTCCGGCGTTAACGATATTTTTCTGTTGTTTTAACGAGAAAGTGGTAGCAACAATACGCACATATAAAGTTATCATCAGCAACACTCTCTATTGTGCTATAGCGCTTACCGTGAAAATGGGTTTCCGGACTTTAATTACTTCGCTCTGTGCCGTTACAGTCGCAAACAGGAGAAACATTCGTTCTCATTGTAAAATCGTGAAATTGAGTTTGTGCAACTCAATTCGAGTTGCTTCGAGTGATCCCCCTTCCCCATCTTTTTTCACAGCGTACGTGAAAAATGGGGAAGAAAAGTTGAAGCGGAAGCTCGCGAACAGAGAAATGTGACGTGGACCCGCGACGACGTGTTTTGCGCGTTATTTTCTTTCCGTACAAATGGGAATTTTGTAGAAACGATATCATCTTGACACGGTTTGTCCCCCTCCTCCCTCTCTCTCTCTCTCTCTCTCTCTCTCCCCCCATCTATCTTCCTCCGTCTCTTTTGCATTTCTCTCCTTCCACATCAGAGAGACGAAGACTATCGGCCGCTGCACTCGAATAAATAAATCCGCTTCTCGAACGCGCGGCGAGCGTTATTGTAAAATACGAGCCTCGGTTTCTGTCGGGGCGTCGTGTCGCGTCGCGACTCGCGCGCGTGTATATGTCTGAAAATAAACGCGAAGCGAAAAATATCGTTTGAGAGATACGACGGAGCGCCATAAATAAATCCCACCGCGCGCGCGAGCACGCGGCGGGGCGTGTTGCCCCGATCCAGCCATCAAAAGTTGTGTATTATTTCCCCTCCAAGAGATCTATAACGTTATCGCATTTTACGCTTGGCCGAACGTGACGAGAGAGAGAGAGAGAGAGAGAGAGCGCGCGAGAAAGAGGAAGAGGAAGAGGGCGGGGTGAGTCTTGTTGAATCCACGGCCTCTCGGCGACGACGAATTTTTCGCGTCGCTCGAATCTACCTACCTACTCAGCCACCTATCTACCCTGCCTGCCCACTTACTTACCCTGACCTAACTTTCAGCCGAGAAAGCTTTCGCCCCTTGTAATATCACCGTATTTCTCCATTTCCGATCTCTCGGAATATCCGAGTGCAGCATTTTCTCTCGCTGGCGCGCCTAAATGAGTCCATGTCGTTTCGCTCAAGCTCTCGAGTGAACTTCGACACTAGAAGCACCGGCGTTTAACGTGTCCCCCCCCCCGTTTCCATCGAGGTGCTCGGGACGACACGTTTTTCAGAAGAAGGTACACCGTGCGTGGGCAAAAATGTTTATTCATTTCTCGCGGTCGTATATTCTCGCGAGCGTCCGTTAGAAATATAAAGCGCATCGTTGTGCGAGTTGGAGTAATTTTTATAAAATCTATCGCAAGCCGGTCGATTTCGGCCGCACTTGCTGTTCGCAGTGTTAAAGCAGACCGAGTCATGTCGGCTGCGCGTTTACCGAGAAAAACTGCTGGGAAAATACTCGCGAAATGCGACGATAATTGTATCGAACGTGGGAGTGACGGTATCGGAAATAATCACAGTGAGAGACATCGCGAATAATTATCGCGTTCGACGGCGTTTATTAGCATTTTATTTTCGGTCGGTTGCACGTCATTGGAAAAGCTTGCCGATATCTCTTAATATCGAGAATGACGCTCGCGGCAAATTACAATTTCGGGAGAACACAGCCCAAAGATGTCCCTTTTGTCGCGGAATTAACAGATACCTTTCCCGTATCCCCTGAAAACGCCATTCTACCTTTCTTCCCCGTTCTTTCGCCCGCAATAAACTCGTAACCGAGACGACATGCCCAACGTATGACCCTTGGGACAACTTGACCCAAACTCTCCGTCCCCTGCAGCGCGCGAGACTCGCGACGTTGAGCTATCGATCGCCAAGTTCCTCGAATCCAAAGTAACCAAACGAGACCGACTCTGACCGCATTCATCGCGAACGGGAATGAACTTTCGAACAGCATTCACGACTTATTGCCATGAATCTTGGTGCAAATACTTCAAATCACCTCGAGTGGGGAGAACACCTTTGAGTGAGTTTTCACCGACAAGGAAGTTTAATGCCGAAAGTGTTCAAATAATGTTAAATCTTAAATATCGCTGATGGTATTACGCTGCTTTCCCAGTCGACGGAATCTGCCAACCGTGATTATACATTTCTCTGCTTTAGTCCCCTCACTTCTTGACAAATGTCTCGAATTAAAAGATTCAGGCTCGTTGGAACTAAAAGACTATCACAATGCTATCACAATGCAGAGGGTTAGGTTGGAACAAACATCTTTTTGTCATCGTATCAACTTGTAATCACATGCACCCAAGAAAAGTATTCTATTTGTAAAGTGATGATTTTTCTCATAGTTTCATATTCCAAGCGAAGCCTCTTACAGAAAGAGGATTTCTTTTCCGATAAAGCGATTAAAGTGAAACATTTATCTAAAATTTATTAGATACCATTCTAACTGCTTTCCTCTTATTTCCTCTTGTATCAATTAATTTTTCTCTTGTATGAAGAGGAGATTTAAAAAAAAAGTATGTGTGTAACGAAGATAACTTACCCAAATATAGCTTATAATCTATTGAAAGAAGTTGAATAATATATTCTTTCTTTTAACTATGTTTCATACAATTGATTATGGTGGTTAACTTTGTAGCTATGAAGGTCATAAAACTGATTGGAAATTTATTTATTATGATGATTTTATTTCATTCGTACCTACTTATTGTAGAACTGGATCCAAAAGTACACACACGCACACACACACATATATATATATATTATTTTTTGTTACATTATAATTTTTTGCTACATTATAATTTTTTTTCCAATTAACTAGTATAACCAGTAAGAATAAATAATAATCCTCTTAAAAAAGGATTAAAAAAAGGAAAATAATGTGCGTATGAGGAAATTTATATTAAAATCAATAAGATTCGCATTATACATCTAACATATAATCCCTCTAACTTTAAGAAATAATGTGTTTATAATATTTTCCTCTTAATCTTAGAGGAATCCTCTTGAGGCCGCGTATAAAAATAAAATCCTCTAAAATTTAGATGATTCCACTTGTCCTGAAATTACTTGTTTTTTTGGATGCAGCGCGTCACAGATAAAACTTGGAAAGTGCGAAAGTCTATAGTGCGACACTAACAGCGATAGCTGTTATCATCGCGTTAGCCGGATACTTTTGGCATCCAATTTATATCAATTACTAGACGCGGGCAGTTTTTTCGGGACTTCGCCGGCGAACAGTCGTAGCGTCGAAGCTCGCCGCGGGACTCGCGCGGGACACCGCGTATATAACACGCGCGAGTCGTGAAATCTGCACTTTTTCCAGCGACCCTCGCGGTGTGTCTCTCTCGCCTTGGCACACATCGGCCGCGGCCGGTCGTCGTCGCCGTCGTCGCACTCGTACGTGCTCGTTCGCAACCTTGTTCGCGCGCGCGGCGTGTAACGCCGGACACGTATTCGCGCGTCAATCAACTCGCGTACGTGTCACGGATGCGCTTCACGACTCGAGCCGGCTCGGCCGCGCTCCATTTGGCTCGGCCGAGCCGCAAGGAAATTGGGAAAGCACGCGCGTCCCCGGCGCGTCCGCACCGGCCACGGAGAGAGAATCCGACAAGCTCGACGAGTGTGCGCGCGCCTTTAACCGTGACGCTCTGATTAAGGCGCGTATACACCGAGCGAACGAACGGCGAATTCGGCGGATGTGCAAAGACGAACCGAATGCTTGTCAGCGCTCGATTCGCCTTCGATCCGGTTCGCTGATGAAGAAATATATCAAAAGATGGATACGCACTTGGATGCTCGTTTACTGTTCCTTTCGCTTAGTGCATACGCACCTTTAATCCTTTGCATCCGAGAAATATTTCCACGTTTC